CAAGGTGGATACATTTAGCCATCAGTTGGCTAACGCAGAGTAAGTTGTAGCTGAGGCCTTCTGCGATTAAGACCTTGGCCATTTGTAGTATAACGTTTGTTTCTCGTGTCGGAAGTTGAACCACTCCTTGTCGTCGTGTGCACATGTTTTCGTTGTTGGCGACGGTGATGACTACTTCGCGTTGGAGTTGGTACTCTCGTTGCACGAAGCATCCTGAAGAACACATGTGCTGTCCGCAGCAACTGTCCAAGAACCACGTGTCCTTCTCGGATGGCTCGTTGGGCGATGGCTGCGTACGTCGGATTCGGCTGAAGTGAATCACGGTGTGGTGTGGAGTCGTCGAGTTGTTCTTCCAGTGAGTAGTACGGTGGTGATTCTGTGATGCAGGAGTCACTCAGTCTTGCCATACAACTGACTATGTTCCTTGCTCCTTGTGCAGGTTGTCCTGTTGAGGTTTTTGAGGCTTGAATCTGGGTCGTGGGATTTGCTTGTGATGAGGCGACTTGGTTGCTTGAAGGTCGAAGCTGCCGCTGTGGAGGCGTTGACTGTTGTCGATTCAGGCAGTGCGTGCGCGGGTGCCCTGACGTCTTGCAGATGTGGCAAAACGTAGGTACGGGCTTTGGATGTTGTTGTTTGTTGTTGTTGTAGCGTCGCTGAGTGTGAAATGCAAATTCCGATGCTAATGTCTTCTTCTTGTGTCGCTCTTCTTGCAGGTCCATGCCTTGCTGATCGGCGTGGATTTCGGCGCAGAGCGCTGCTCAAGAGATTCTTCGTGGGCTCGGAGAATGGCCTTTGTGGTGCGCCATTGAGGGCCGAGACCGCCAATGATAACTGTCACAAAGGCGTCTTCAGATATTGACCCTCCGCATCGAAGGAGTTTGTCGCGCAACTCGCGACATCGGCTAATATACGCCATTCCTTTCTCGCCTGGTTTCATTTCGACCGTTGTCAATTGCGTGTGAAGAAATGAGGAAATGAATGAACTAGCACAAGGTTGGGTACAAGTAGGAAACCCTAAGAAACTGTACCCTATAGTGTCTACCCCACTATAGCCTAGACAAGCTATATGACATAAGTTTGACACACCCCCATAGGCAAAGTGGGGGAGAACAAGAGGTCACAAGACCAATCAAGCAAAGCAAAGCAAGCTCAGGGTGGATCACAACGTCACCACACAATCCAAGCACAAGAGCAAGGCCAGAAGGCCAGTTCACATGCAAGATAATATATAAAGGTAAACATGCAAGTGCAGGTATAGAAAGATCACAGTACAAGCATGGTCAAGGGGTGAGCAAGTGAGGCCAAGTAGGCACAAGACCTAGCATAGTACAGAAGCGCTGATGATCACCAGGCGGAAGTGCCTTGGTAAAGATATGAGCAGTGTTGGCCTCAGAGGCCACGTAAGCAAGGCGCAACTAACCACGCTGCTGCAGCTCACGAGCAAGGAAATAGCGGAGAGCAATGTCCTTTGTTCTCTGCTCCAGTCTGTGCTCCCGACACAAGGCCAGCATGGCCTTGTTTCCCTACGTACAAAACTGGAGGAGAACGAGGCGGCTCTCCTAGGTCAGTCAGCAGGTAGGTGAGCCAGCGTAGCTCCTGTGTAGCCATGGCCCCCGCGTAGATCTCACCCTCACAGCTGGAGCCGAGAACAGAAGACGAGCGGGTAGACGGCCACAAAACAGAGCCGGAGCCAAGATTGAAGGTGTAACCCTGTGACGACCGCTGCGTAGCCTGGTCGTCAGCCCAAGAAGCGTCTGCGTGACCTATGAGGACCACTCGACATCGCCCTCCAAGCACTAGCCCCATGCCCGACGTACTGCACAAGTAGCGCAACACCCTCTTTGCTGCAGCCATGTGCTCTGGTCGGTGTCTTCCACGAGCAACATAGCGTGCCAAGATGCTAAGAGGGTATGCAAGGTCAGGTCGTGTGCAGGTCATCAGATACATGAGGCAGCCAACAAGCTCTGGGTACGGGCCACTCGGCTCTACGGACTCATCCGAAGGCAGAGCTGAGAGCAAGTGGCGAGTAGACGGAGGAGTGGTCTGAGGCGAGGAGTACGTGAAGTCGAAGCGATGAAGGACCTGCTGCACCATGTGTGATTGAGTCAGGGTAATGGTGCACTGTGCTATGTCCCGGGTGATCTGCAAGCCAAGGTAGCTACGCAGTTCACCCAGGTCTGTATACGTGTGTCTCTTCAGAATCTCGCACATCACGTGGGCGAGTCTAGCAGTGTCAGCAGTGGCAAAGACCAAGTCGTCGACGTACACGAGGATGTAGAACGGCGGCAAAGAGGTGTCGGTGCGCAGTAACAGCGACGGTCGGTCTGTGTAGAAGAAGCAAACCCAATAGCCGCAAGTGTAGTCCTCAGTGTGTCGTGCCACTCACGGGGCGCCTGGCGGAGACCGTAGACTGGCCGACGGAGGCTCCACTTGGAACCTGGAGAAAACGACCCAGTGAAGCAAGGTGGGCAGCGCAGCCAGATCTCCTCGTACAGGCTGCCCTGCAAAAAAGCAATGCTGAAGTAAAGAGAGTGAAGCTCGTAGCTGCGCTGTTCACCAAGGTCTGTGCACGTGTGTCTCTTCTGCAGCTCGGACTTCACGTGGGTAAGTCCAGCAGTGTCAGCTGTGGAAAAGACCAAGTCGTTGACGTACACGAGGATGTAGAACGGCGGCAAGGAGGTGTCGGTGCGCAGAAACAGCGACCCAAGAGCCGCAAGTGTAGTCCTCAGTGTGTCGTGCCACTCACGGGGCGCCTGGCGGAGACCGTAGACTGGCCGCCGGAGGCTTCACTTGGTACCTGGAGGAAACGACCCAGTGAAGCCAGGTGGGCGGCGCAGCCAGATCTCCTCGTACAGGCTGCCCTGCAGGAAAGCTATGCTGAATTCAAGAGAGTGAAGCTCGTAGTCGCGCTGAGCGGCTATGTGCAGCAGCACCCAAAGAGTGGTCATCTTTGGGGTGGGAGAGAAGGTCTAAAAGTATTCAACTCCCTGCCGCTGATTGAAGCCTCGAGCCACGTAACGCGCCTTGAAGACAGGCGGAGAACCCGGCGGCCGCTTCACCCTGAAAATCCACATTCCACTGATGATGTTCGCCCCAGGTGGGAAAACGCGTCGACGTAGGTGCCTGTGGACTTCTAGGAAGCCATCTCTGCGTACATGGCTGACAGCCATTGAGAGGAGTAGGGACCCTCGATCGCCTCAGCGTACGATCGAGGAGTCGGGATGTCTGGTGCATCCGGGTCTCCCTCAGGGGCAATCAGCGTGGACACGAGATGAGGTATAGCAGCAGCAAAACACTAGAACTCCTCCTGCGTGTCCTCAAGGACGTCCGTGCTAAGAGCACACTCACCCCCGACGGACGGAGGACAGAGAGACTCAGACTCAGCAACAAGACTAGCAGCGTAGTCTAGACGACAGCGAGCAGCAAAGTCGACAAGCTCAGCAACTAGGGCCGACGTAGCAGTGGACTCAAAGGAAGGGTTAGTGACAACAGTGGCCAGGAGACGTGTGATAGTAAGACTAGCAACACGAAGAGAGTCAGACTCCGGGTCAGCAAGAACAGGAAGAGAGGACTTTGGAGAAGACGGCAATGGGACACTCAAAGGAGCAGTGGAAGGACGCAGTGCCATCTGGTGTGTGCCTAGGACGGCAGGAGGACACGGACGTGGAGCACGACGACTTGTAAGAGTAGCAAGAATAGGCAACGCAGGACGAGACACAGGCTCACGACGCTCAGCAAGACCTCCAGTGGGACCAGCGTAGGGAGAAGGAGCAGGTAGGGGGGAGGCGGGCTGTAGCTGTGAACGCGACTAGACAGACTTTGGACACTCTAAGGGAGGAGCAGGACAAGTAGTGGGCGGGAGACCAGCAACCTGCTCAAGGAGCAGAACGAAGTACGGCCGCGGCCGCGCAATGCCTCCAGAACCAACAAGGACAGCACCAGTACCCCCAGCGGCACCTCCAGCGCCAGCAGCACCTCCAGCTCCAACAGCGCCAACTCCAGGACCCTCAGACGTACCAGCGCCAGCAGCACCACCAGCGCCAACATCCCCAGCAGCTTCAGCTCCAGCAGCTCCATCAGCACCAACTCCAGCAGGACCGGCAGCTCCTGTACCGCCAGCAGCTCGAGCAAAACCTCCAGCAGCCCAACAGCACCCCATTCCCATTAGCTCTAGAACCGCCAGTACGAGGACCTCCGCGACCAGGAACAACAGTAGTACCTCCAGCCCCAGCAGCACGGCTCCAGCGCCGGGCAAGCCACTCGCGCAACTCCTGCGGAGAGAGTGGCTCCCGCCTCGACGAAGCACCGCAAGAGGTAGCACGAGCAGACCCAGCACCCCTAGGCTCCACACCCCAGGCTCAGCACCCCCTGGCTCAGCACCCCCAGACTCAGCACCCCGAGGCTCAGCACCCCCAAGCTCCGCACTCCTGGACTCAGCACCCCCAGGCTCCGCACCCTCAGGCTCAGCACCTCCAGACCCGGCACCCGTAGGCTCAGCAGCTCGAGCAGTACCAGAGTCAACAGCTACCTTGACAGGCTCAACTGCGTCTACCTCAGACACACTTGACGGGGCAGGACCCCGAGGGGGGAGGGGGTCTACCTGAGGAGGACCTGGCGCAAGGAAGAGCGGCGGCGGGGGAAGGGGCGAAGTGCGTTAGGGGAAGAGACGGTAGTAAGGCACCGACTCGTCAAAGGTGACGTCCTGGGAGGACAGAACACAGCGCGAGGTGGGATGGTAAAACTGCCACCCAAGCGCGTCAGGGGGAAAGCAAAGGAAGAGAACGAGGTTCTGTAGATCAGCTCCACTCACCAGGTTCGTAGAGAACGAGGGGAGGTAGAGACCTGACAGGGTGCCAGAGGGGGTTGCCGGGCACGGTAAGACAGTTGAGAAGCTAGCAAGGACAGGACCCCGAGAGGGGTCCGCTAGGGAGACCGCAACCGGCCGACTAAGTGGCCTAAGCGTGCTGCGGTCTTGAAAGATGAAGGGGGAAGCACCCGAGTCAAGGGTGAAGGTGTGTAAGGCCTGAGCCGATGTAGTACTTGAGAGTAGACTCACCAGCATCTGGGGCAGCGCACGCACTAGCAACTAGAGCTGCAGCCTCACCAGCACCTAGAGCAGCAGCCTCACCAGCACCTAGAGCAGCAGCCTCACCAGCACCTAGAGCAGTAGCCTCAATGCCCCGGTCAAGCGGAACACACAGGTAACAGTCACCCTCAACACTATCACACACAGCATACATGGCAGCAGGAATGCATCATAATCAAGATCAAAGATAGCAACCCCCGCCCTAGACAGCTCTCCCCAGCGAGGGATCTCAGTGGCGTCAGGGAACTGGTGAAGCCACGCATCCGTCAGGGCGGGCGAAGCAACGCTGGGTGGAGTGCTGGCCCCCGCACTACTCACCAGCGCGGTCGCGGTACGGAAGACATAGGTGCAGGGACCAGTACCCCACCGCGCTGACGCGCAGCATACCACTCACGAAGTTGCTGAGGGGACAGGGTCCTACGATTGCGCTGCTGCTGCTGGCGCGGACCACCACCTGATCCACTCCTCTGCGCAGAGCCGCGACCAGCTCCACCGCTGCCACCGCCGCCTTCGCCACCTCCGCCGCCTCCGCCACCTCCGCCGCCTCCGCCACCTCCGCCGCCTCCGCTCCCTCCGCCACTGCCGCCTCCTTCGCATCCACTGCTGCCACTGACACCTCCACCTCCGCCACCACCCCCACCCCTCCACTGCCTCCACTACCACCTCCACCGCCCCCGCCAGCCCCTCCAGCGCCCTTGCCCCCTTGCCCTTGCGGTGCGGCGTCTCCTGCTAGGGGTAGACGCAGCGCCGACCGACTCGAAACCAACGAGGTCGGCCGCAGCAGCAGAAGCAACAAGGGCAAGAGGGGGGAAGGGGAACACCTCTCAAAGACGGGGTGCGAGGTCACCACGTGAGGCTCCTACAACGACTACGCTCTTTTCTGCCGCTAGGAGGCGCTCCTCGAGGAGGTCAACGGTGAGTGTGGTGGGGCAAACTGAGAGGAAGTGGTCCCTGACTAAGCAAAGGGAGTCAGGGAGCCGGGTGACAATGTAGCAGAGGGTGATGTACTTGGGGGGGGGGGGGGGGTTCTTGGCACAGAACTCAGCAGGAAGCGCAGCGGGGTAGCGAGTGTCACTAGTGCAAAGGTGCGTAATGAGGTGAGCGACTGTGGAAAGGCAGCAAGGTCAGGGAAGAGGTACGGTAGCATGAGGCGGCTTAGCGCAGCAGTGGCAGGGGAAGAGTAGCGTGCAACTACAGCGTCGTACAAGGTCTTAGCACTCTTGTACTGGCTAAAGTGCGCACGCTCAGTGGTTGGTAAGTGGCAACGCACAGCAAGACGGGCAGCAGCATCG